TTTTAGTATAATAACTAGAGTTGATAATATATTAAGCTTAGCGAAACGAATTTACCTGCAAGAAAAGAAGACTTTTATAAAGAATATATAGATATATTTGAGGGCTTAGGTTGTTTGCCAGATACTGTTAATATTAAGTTATTTTCACATGCCATTCCAGTAGTACAGGCAGACAGAAATGTACCATTAGCCCTGCACAATAAACTAAAAGCAACTTTGAATGACTTGGAATCAAAAGACATTATCTCTAGAGTAACATATCCCGCTAAGGACCGATTTCACCAACATTAATATTATGGACCAATGGGAAAATACGTTATCGAAATGCAATTTGACAGGAGCTGTCAAAGGTCTCTGAATATTAGTGATTTCTATCGAAATATTGAATAAAATCGTGAAAATTTGACTGTATTATAAACAAGACCACTTTTTGATTCCAACATGATGCTTTTGTACAGAAAAAACACGACAACTTTCATGTGTTTCGATATATGTTATAGGTTTACATTTAACAATCCGTTATCCCCCTCAGCGAATGGGAATGCGGCAAATAATAGGTCGATTTTCTAGCTGTTAAATTTGGCAGCAGATTTGGACGTTTGTTAATGCATGGCACTCTCGAATTTACCAGCTTCAATATACTGAAAGTTATCATTACATACCTGTTGAATAGTGTGGATTTGTCTGTATTTTGCAAGAAAATAGAATATAAAATACATTCCATCCAATTCGTCATCTTCCTTTACGTCATAATAGTCATTTATTAATTTGTGGGACAATGAATTTCTTCAAAGCAATAAAAACATTATGTCCTCTCCATCCTAAAACACAGATAATATGTGTAAGACGTGTCAATCCCTACATCTCCCTGATGCATAATGCAATTACTATGGACATAGACAAAAAATTATGAAAAATGTTTCACAGATAATGGCTCCAAAAATCAAAAAAACTAGTATAAACTTTATTGTTTATCTATTTTTCTTTTTTGACTGGCGGGGATATCTATCTGACACTCGCATCTTTTACATTTGCTGGTTTTGCATTTTTTTCGTGAAAATTTACTAGGTATCATGATTATAAGCATCTTTGGTAGACTGTTCGATCCGGAATGGGAAAGATCTCCTATTTATGAAAATATTTTTGGTATCATCTAACCGTTGCAATCAGTGCACAAACACTGTGACATATGATTTATAGCATAACCCGCTGCCCTATCAATACAAATTTAACATACAGGTCTCCTAGCCGTGGGGATGCAGTTGTCGGGATGAATATCACGGCAGCAACTGATGATTTGGGCGTGTCTGGTAAGAACGTGTGAAGTGGAACTCGCTAACTTCACAAATTTGAAGATTTTGTACAATTTCTTTGAAAATGATGAAAGATATGTCTGATTTGGCAGGGTAATGTCGCAGCCCAATGGCAGTCACTCTTTCTGACACAGTCCGGATTGAAAGATGACGATACTCGTGAAATGATTGATACGTCTAAATATAGGATCCTATCGAACATCCCTACTGTCAAGATGTATAACCCAAGGTACCAACGGAGCTATTTTGCGGCATCATGTAAATAATTTTAAATTTTCATTTGCATTTTTTCAAGTGTTGTGCAATGATTTTGGGAAAATGTCACGAATAGTCTCATAAAGCATAGTAGAGTATATTTCAACAGTTGGCGGAACTTACTCCACTGGGACCAGGAGGGTGAAACGGGATATTAATGCACAATCTGGCAACCCTGTCGCACCCTCACCAAATGGCCGCCGACAACCACACAAGTCACCGTGTTGTGATTGAATAGCATGGAATTAAACCTTCAGAGTATGTTTTGTGACTGGTACCAAGAGTTGACAGAGTCCACACATGTATCACTCCTTGAAATGCAATAATCAGCTGTATTCAAATAATGTCTAATATACATATAACCTAGAATGTGTACTCGTGAAAAAAGAAAAATATGGCAAATTTGTAGTTTTTTTGCAGCTTTTATAGGTGTATGGTTTTTGTTTGAGGTTTTGGGGTTTAATACACGATTTTGTTCACAAGCTTTGTATTTTTCCCAGAGCACGTACATAAACGTCGGCGGTTAGATATGCGAATGCTGAATACTCAACTTACATTGTTGCCACGTCTAAAAACTACAAAGTAAAACAAGTCGGCCACAACATACCCCCGACCTTGAAAGCCCTAGGCTTTCAAACTTAAATATATCAAAACATGACATAAGTAACTTAAGTATTTCAATATGACAGAGTGCTAACCTAAATACATAGACCGTACAATCCATATATGGTTTTACAATTCAGTTGATTGGTAACACACATAGTTTGCTAAAGGCTCGGTTAAAGAGTCCTTTTGGGGTTCGCACGGTCGCGACCCGTGCCACATCATCCGGTCCCGGATGCACTTGTTCAACTCTCCCCAACGACCACTGTGAGGGAGGGTTATGATCTTTTACAAGCACTAGATCACCCGGACGAAGCACTTCAAGGTTTTTGTGCCACTTTGATCGCACTTGCAACTCCGAAATACAGGGTGGGGCAAAAGTCGCGAAGGGATTTGAAAAATTAATAACTTTTTTAAATTTTAATTTTAATTTTTTTCCCTAACACAAAACTAAAATGCAATGTTTGGAGTTTGTTTACAATTTAAGTGTGAAAGATTACATCACGCAAATGACCGCCATTTTCAGCCTCGCAAAGTGCAGCTCTTGCAAGAGCATTTTCCATTACCCGAGTCAGAATATCTGGCCCCAAAGCACTTACTTCTGCTCGAATATTATCTTTTAGTTGCTGCAGGGTTGTGGGTTTATTAATATACACTTTTCCTTTCAGATATCCCCAAAGGAAATAATCAGGGGCTGTTAAGTCCGGCGAGCGGGCGGGCCAATTGAATCCTGAATTTCTCGAAATTAAACGTTCGCCAAAAATCTGCCTTAGAAGGTGCATAGTGGCTCGAGCAGTATGCGCAGTGGCTCCATCTTGTTGGAAAGTCATCGTTTGATTGTCAGCAAGAGCTGGTCTTAAGAAATTTTGAATCATATCACGATATCGGTCGCCATCTACAGATACAGCATTCCCATCGTGGTCTTCGAAGAAGAATGGTCCAATAATTCGTTGAGACGTAACTGCGCACCATACTGTACATTTAAGCGGATGTAATTGCCTTTGATGAACCACCCTTGGGTTCTCGGTACCCCATATTCTGCAGTTCTGCTTATTTACGAAGCCATTCAAATGAAAATGGGCTTCATCGCTCATGATCAGAGAATGAATAAATTCATTATCTTCTCGAGCCATTCTTTGCAAGCGAACTGCATAAGTTAGTCGTTCTTGAAAATCTGCTGGTTTTAGTTCTTGCACTAGCTGCACTTTATATGGAAACAGATGTAAATTTCCTCTTAATATTCTGCGTAAAGACCTTTGAGACATCTGCAGCTCAGCAGAACGTCTTCGGGTTGAGGTTTCCGGATTCTCCTGAACACTCTCCTGAACGCGTTGAATGTTCCCTTCATTTCTTGCGGAACGTGGCCTTCCGCTTCGTGGGAGATCCATAACTGTGCCTTGTTGCTGAAATCGTGCCACTAAGCGTCGAATCATTGATTCAGAGGGCGAATTCCGCAAATTGAAATGACGACGATATGTTCGTTGAGTTTGAATTATTGAATGGTGATATTCAAAATAAAATTCTATAAGTTTGGTTCGTTGATTGAGGTTGTAACGCTCCATAATTAATCTCCAGGATTTATTTTACACGGTCCTGAAAAAAAAAATGAAAACAAAATAAATTTAAAAAAGTTATTAATTTTTCAAATCCCTTCGTGACTTTTGCCCCACCCTGTATATTCGAGTCCAAAAGTGCTGTTTCAATTGTTGAAGCCTCTGGTAGTAAGACAGACGATTCTCTGGTATGGGCTTCAAGTCGCGTTCGGGCAATGAGGTAAGTGGTCTGCCGATCAAAAAATGGGAGGGAGTCAAGGCGGTGAGGTCACTAGGATCACTGGAAATGGGAGTAAGGGGACGAGAATTGAGGATGGCCTCGATTTCCGTTAAAACTGTATACAATCCTTCAAATGTCAAACAAGCATCACCTAAAGTTCTTTTTAAATGAGTTTTACATCACTTAATTCCGGCTTTCCAGATTCCACCAAAGTGTGGAGCTAATGCCGGGATGAAATGCCACCACACATTATCATTTTCGATCGACTCGCACAAATAATTTTGATTTTGTTTCAGATAAAGGGCCAACTCTCTAAGTTCGTTGCGCGCACCCACAAAATTTGTCCCATTATCCGAGTAAACATTTACTGCTTTGCCTCGCCTAGCAGTGAACCTTCTGAAGGCTGCTAAAAATGCTTCGGTAGTCAATTCAGTGACTAGCTCTATATGTACAGCCTTTGTACATAAACAAACAAAAAGACATATGTAACACTTAGATTTTTTCGCTCCACGGCCCTTACGATCTTTAATTAAGAAAGGTCCTCCATAATCCACACCTACACTGGAGAAAGGAGGGGCAGGTACCACGCGTTCACGTGGGAGAATTCCCATAATAGGAGATTGCTGCACTGGGGAGTTCCTGAAGCACTTTAAACATGTACGAACAGTGTTTCGAGCTAAATTTCTCCCCCCAGTTGGCCAAAAGCTTTCTCGAAGCGATGCCAGCAAAAGCTGAGGGCCTGCATGAAGAAGACTACCATGTCGTTCTGAGAAAAGTAATTTTGTAAATATATGAGAACTGCACAAAAGCGCAGGATGTTTTTTCTCATAGAGTGCTCCAGAAAGTTGGAGTCTACCCCCGACCCTAAGGATATTGCCAGAACCAAGGAAGGGATTAAGTTTTCGTAACTTACCACCTTTGCATTCCCCATTTTTCTTTAAATTGCGCAGTTCCTCGTGAAAGGATTGTTCCTGAGACAGTTTGAGCAAGCAAGTCTTGGCCCTGTTCAATTCCTCGACCGTTAAATAAGTATTGTAAACACGAGGTTCTCGGCACTTATTTATAAAGCGCAAACACCAAGCGCACACTGATCATCTTGGAAAAACTTGAAAATCTATGAAAAGGAAACCATTCAATAATTTCTACTTTGAATACTTGTGCTTGTTTTCTGAGTTCAGGCACCTTTATAACATGTTTAAAAACTGATTTAGGCCATAGGCATTTGCTAAGGCCCAACCACTTCGGACCGCACCACCACAGTTCACAAGGTTCAATTAGCTCGGGGCTAAGTCCCCTAGATAGGAGATCCGCAGGATTATCTTTGGTACTGATATGGTTCCACTGATTGGTTTGGGTCAAACCTTGAATTTGGGATACACGATTACCCACAAAAGTTTGCAATATATTTGGGGGTGTATGGATCCATGTTAAACACACAGACGAATCAGACCAAAGCACAATTTCATCAATTTTCACGGTTAATGAAGTTTTAACCTTCTGTACCAAATTAGCTAACAGTAAGGCCGCACACAATTCTAATCTGGGCACTGTAATTGTTTTAAGGGGTGCTACTTTGGTTTTAGAACACATCACTCTCACATACACCTTTCCATTAGCATCTTCACTTCGCACATACACACATGCACCATAAGCCTCTAATGATGCATCAGCAAACCCATGGATTTCCACCCTGACTGGGTTATCACACAAAACGTGACGAGTAATTTTCACATAATTCACCTGCTGAAGCTGCTCTCGAAATCGTTTCCAACTTGTATCTAAGTCTGCAGGTAAGGATTCATCCCACTGGATTTTGCACAGCCATAATCTTTGCATCATAATTTTGGCTAGAATCACACACGGCCCAAGCAACCCTAAAGGGTCAAAGATTTGGGCTATTTCAGATAAAATTGTGCGTTTAGTCACTTTCTTCGAAAATTCAGTGTTGATATTGAACAACAAGCAATCTTCTTGGCATGCCCAATATAATCCAAGTGTTTTTGTCCGTTGGGTTTCACCAAAGGTCATAGAATTTGGCCCAGTTGAATTGCTGAAGTGTTGTAGGACTTCTATTTTATTTGAAGCCCACTTTTGGAGTATAAAACACGCTGAGCTCAGTATTTCTTGCACTTGGGTACACAGTTCTATAGCGTCCTCAACCGTATTTGCTCCTGTTAGCATATCATCCATGTAAAACTCATGGTTTATCACTTTGGATGCTTGCGGCGAAGAGGTTTCACTCTCAAATGCGAGTTGCTTCAAGCATCTGATGGCCAGGAATGGAGCTGAGGATGTTCCGTAGGTCACAGTTTGCAGCTCGTAGGTGCGGAGCTGTTCTGAGGGATCATTTCTCCACACGATTCGCTGGAACCTGCGTTGACTAGATTCAATTAATATTTGCCGATACATTTTCACAATGTCCGCTCCGATTACCACTGAATGCTGCCTAAATCTAAGCAATATGGCGACAAGATCTTCTTGTAATACAGGACCGGTATGTTGTATGCCATTCAAAGAAACTCCATTATCTGATTCACTCGAACCATCGAACACCACTCGGAGCTTAGTTGTGGGACTATTTTCGTTCGTCACTGCGTGATGACGGAAGTAATAAGCGTTTTTCTCATTACTTGTATTCTGCACCAGCTGCATATGCCCCAAATCACAGTATTCCTGGAGAAAGTCGGTGTATTTTTGCTTAAGGGCAGGATTTTTGGATAGTTAACGTTCCAAAGATAGGAAACGCCTTTCTGCTACACCCAGAGAGTCCCCCAGGACCTCATCGGGTTTTTTTTTGAAGGGTATTTGCACAATGAATCTTCCATCATCATTCCTGGAAGTTGTGGATTTGAAGATTTCTTCACATTGCTTGTCCTCTTCAGACCAGACTGGGTCTTGTGTATGAGTTTCTTCGATTTCCCAAAATTTGGCAATTTGATTATGTATATCTGATATTTCTCCACCTGTAAAGTTGCATTGATAAGCTGAGCTTACCCTGTTACACACCACGTCTCCTCCAACAACCCATCCCAATTTTGTTTTTTGAAGAATGGGCAGATTTGCACCTAAACAAATTTGCCCTATGCACAGTAGGTTCAAATATACTGCACTGCCAATGAGGAGATCAATCTCAGCCGATTCTGCAAATTTGGGATCTGCTAATCGAATATTCTTAGGGATTTGCCATGACTCTGTATTCACTTGATTGGCAGGACACACACCACTTATTTTTGGGATCACTAAGCACTGTAATTGTAACTCATAATCACTATGACACGACTTTAGTCTCACACTAGACACTACAGCGATATTTAAGATGAGATACATTTTGTCCAACGCCTAACACTGCGGAAGGTAAGTTTAACCTTTGAATGCCCAATTTTTCACAACACTCACTAGTAATCAAATTACTTTGGCTGCCACTGTCCAACAAAGCACGACACACTACAGGCACCCCCCTGTCATTAAGAATTTCTACCAACGCTGTTTGCAACAGAACCGTTGAACTTGTCTCACATTTTGAGTCAGATAGTGTCATTGAAGCAGTTGGGCCCTGCGTTTCAGGTGTATTGTTATTGGTTTGCGCTGTTTCACTCTGAATAGCCTGTGTGGATTCACCCTTATGATAGTGCAACAATGTGTTATGTTTCTTTTTACACTTTCTACAACCACTACTACGGCATACATTTACATTGTGTCCCCCTCTTAGACAATTGAAACACCAATTTAGACGTTTTATATGGCTCTGTTTAGCCTCTGAGGATAATTTAGTAAACTCACTACAGTGTTGAATGAAATGGTCTTCTTTGCAAAAGACACAAGCCTGATTTGTTATTGCATATGATTGATTCACCTGTTTATGTTTAGTTTCACGAAACTCACCTTTCTGTTTCTGCTCTTTTAATTCAATTGTTTCCAACAAATCAGCCTTTTGTCTCAAAAACTGTAAAAAATCATTCAAAGTTGGCATGCTCCAACTTTCACTGGCACCACTACCTACACTTTGTTCATCCATGTTATTGTTATATGAACCTTTAACCTTTTTCTCCTCCCACTCCCTGGCAGTTTTTTTGTCCAATTTTTGGGCAAACATATATATAAGCAGCACATCCCATGATTCAGTGGGAAGACTGAGCGAACTTAGGGATTGTAGGTGTTTGAGAATGTTGTCAACCATTTTCCGCAGTTCTCCTGCTGACTTATTTGTTATACAGTTTAAGGTAAATAGCGCTTTCAAATGGTTCTGTATCAGCACTGCCTTATTATCATAGCGACTGAGTAGTGTTTTCCATGCCAGTAGATAGTTTTCACCGCAAAAATCAATACTACGTATCACTTGGGGAGCTCCCCCCACCAGTGCGGAGCGCAAATAATGGAATTTATTTATATTTGGAATATTATCCTTTGTATGGATTAACGACACAAAAAAATCTTTGAATTCCATCCCATGCCTGTATTCTCCACTAAATTTGGGCAAACTAATAGGTGGTAGTTTGATTTCGTATGAACTAGTATTTTGAGCAACCCTACTAACACTAATTTGTGACTCGGCTTCACTACCAGGCGAAACTGAACGCGACTCTTCCTTTCTAGCATAGTGCTCATCTATTAGTTTTTTGCATTCCGCACTTAGCTCATAATAGATCATCTCATATTCTTCTCTATACACTAAATGATCCCCGGTTAAATCTTCATCACACTCTAATTCAATTACATTTTGAACTTCATCAAACTCACTAAATAATTTTGTCAAGTTTTCAAGCCTGCTTTGAATTTCCAAAATGATTTCATTGGGTATGGACTGATCACTAAATTCAGACTTTATTGCTTCAAAACGTTTTTTAAACAATGTTTGCTTACACTTTATATTACCACGTTTTTTTATCAAATTTGCTAATTCAGAATTTTCCCATTGTTGGAGACTCATTTTTGTATCAAGGAATTCTCAAGGAACAGAAATAGGGAATAAAAAGGTTAGGACTGACAGGATATATTCCGTTTTCTTGAAATTCCTTCCTCCTGGTTACGTCTGACAACGTCGCTTCCGTCTCACCACAGCCTCACGCTGTGCGTTGCCGCTTCGCCGCGTCGTCGCTTCACCTCACCATGCGCCAGACAAGGATAGCTTCTAGTTTCAGGCGCCTTTCACGTGCTCTTGAGGTGCGCCGGCCGCTGCTTCTTCGAATTCTTTTTTTTTTTTCTTATCACTTGGATGAAATGTTGAAAGGGTTGACTTACAGCCTTTCTCGATTGATAGCTCCTAGATGTACTTATTCCACTGCTTCACAGGCCTGGTTTCAGGGTTTTCACAATGGATACACACTGCACCCGCCAACGTTGGAATAATTCGCTTTTCGATCGGTTTTCACTGTTTACTTGTTGGTATACCGATCTGTACTACAAATCCGGATATCGAAGGACCATATGTATGGTTTTTGTTTGAGGTTTTGGGGTTTAATACACGATTTTGTTCAGAAGCTTTGTATTTTTCCCAGAGCACGTATACATAAACGTCGGCGGTTAGATATGCGAATGCTGAATACTCAACTTACATTGTTGCCAGGTCTAAAAACTACAAAGTAAAACAAGTCGGCCACAACAATAGGTTTGCTGGTAGCTTTAAGGCATATATTTGGGAATTTCTTAATTGCTGTGAATATAGTGTGGATGTTTGTTCAGTTCCTGAACAACGAAAAATATTCAACTTTATGGATGTATGGATATCAAGAAAACTGAATGGTTTTGTGGGAATATCAATCTAAGGTGCCATAATGGTTCTGATGAACGGCAAGTAAATGAGTTAATGTTTGGAAACAAGCAATATCTTTTGGTAGAGCCTGTCATCATAGGAAAAAACACCCAGTATCACATATCAATTGAAGAAAATAATATAAACATGAATAAAAAATCAACAATAGTAATTAAAACATGAATTTAATTCAAAAATCAAACATTTCTTAATTTCTTTTGAATGAATTATATGTAATTTCTTAATATTCAATAAGTTGGTAATGTTTCAATGATAAGCGGTCATCTCATACTTTGACAGTATTTTGTTTTCAACATTTCATAGCTATTGGTTGCTAAAATTCGTTGATTGGAACTTGAAGCACATTCGCTGTATCTCACGGTCTGTTACCCTATAGGTGCAGAATAACGGACTGTTGTTGGTGAAATTGGACCTAATTGGGTTAATTCACTATTGCTAGTTGAAAAGTCTTTCGCCTTGGCCTTGATCCAAAGCCTCCTAACAAGTACATTTGTAGAGAACATTATTTAATACCAAAATGTGATGATATTGAAGTAGACTATACTATAACTATCTAAAACTGTAATGACTCATCGATGTTCACGTGAACATCACTTTACTACCAGTAGTCGGCTGTTCATAGGCGGTGTATGAATGTTTAACATGGGTGAACTAGATTTGTCACATGCTTAATAAAGAGTGGTTTGAAACATATTGTAAGTCAAAAATTTGGGAATTACCTTTATTCATCGTCGCTTCCACTTACATCTGACAGTAATAAACTGTCGCTATCGCTTTCCTCGTTGAAATTGACTATAACTGGCTCTATGATGGTGTCGATGTGGTGGTCAAGCTGCCACATTTTTGTTTCTTCCTTCACAACATGACGGATAGCATTCTGCCAAGCTTCGGGCGTTACTAGCTGTATGTAAGTCTCAAGTAAAACCTTAACGTCTGGTAATTTGAAGGTTGTGTTATGGCGCGCAATATAACCCTTCACTTGAGCCCAGATGAGCTCTATTGGGTTCAGTTCACAGTGGTAGGGCGGTAACCGCAGCACAGTGACACCACATTGACGGGCCATCTCATC